CCCGAGGGCGGCACATCTGGCGCCGCCGGGGGGGGGGGTCCGCGCAGGTCCAACGAATCCGCGCGGACCGTCGACGTGGTCGTTATGCAGTGCTCTTGTCTTCCTTCTTAGCTCAGGGGCACAGTCAGGGGCGGGGATGGGCTCTAGAAGTTCACTCGGCGGCGAAATGCGGACCCTGACTTGGTCCATCAACAAGTCACGCAACCCGATGGGCGGCGGGGGGAGGGTTCGGAGTTCGTCGAGCACGTGGCGAGATCCGAGCCCTACCTCCACATTCCTTTGATTCAGGTGAATCGGTGGTTGGGTGGGGGTAGGGTTCGAGTTGTCGCCATCTCATTGTTTGCGGCCAAGGCAAAGACAATGTTCAACAAATAGGCCAGGGCCATAACACAAAATAGGGACAGATTGCTAAATCGAGCTTGCTCCTGTAGATTCCAGGCTCAAGGCTGGAGGGCATGCAACAGCCCAGTTCGACTTCCCAAGCGTCGTTGTTCTCTGAGGGTGTTGCAGGTCATGCCGCGTGGCCACCGTGAGAATTAAACGCCAGGCGGATGGGCTCAGGGGTGATGCACCGAGCGAAACAGAAACAAACACAGCATGAGCATACAGGGTCCGGCTTTTCAAAGGGGGTTCGCTCGTTCCTTTGGTTTGTATGCGTTCCGCTACCTTTTTGGCGGCGAGCCCCCCGGGTGTTCTTTCGGACTTCGTGGACTTACTTGGAAAAAAGGGGTTTCGTTCCTTACTTATCGTTCCTTAGGCCAGGCCGAATACTGTAAACGTTCGGAGGTTCCGTGCGGGTTTCTTGGATCGGCGCTGGACCCTGGCTCGCCCGCGCCGGCGCCGGCGCCGTGCGGCGCGCGGCTGGTCGCGTGGGGGGGTCGCGGGGCCCAGGGGCAACGTCGGAGGGGGTGGACGTCAGGGGGGTGGCGGCAGGCTCCAGGGTATCCACGGGATCGCGCACCAGCTCGGCGGTTCAGAGATGGGGTCCTGAGGGATGGGGTCCCAGGGGCGAGGTGCCTCAGGCAGAGTAATTCCACCCTCGGATCCCTTCCGATTCAGGAGGGGAAAAAACACACAGACACAATTAATCGCCGGTTGCCCAGAAAATATTGGAAAATATGCGAAGTGAGCGGGAAGACAAAAACCCAGAAAATATTGAAAAATAAGGGGAATCTTTTTATCTGTGTATATTTATTTGTGTGTCCTGGGGCCCCTTCGCCGATCCTCGGGCCCCCCCCTTCATTGGACCCCATCTTTGCACCACCAGCCAGAATCCCGCCCGCAAGCGCGCGGATGCGGGTCTGTTCGCGGCCCGCGAGGGAGGCCCCTTGGAGGAGAAGGAGGAGGAGGAGGAGGAGGAGGAGGAGGAGGAGGAGGAGAGTAGGGGAGTAGGGGAGTAGGGGAGTAGGGGAGTAGGAGAGTAGGAGCAGGAGTAGGAGGAGAGGTGGGGGCCGGCAGGCGCCGAGGTCTCCCGAGGGGTGGTGCCCGCGCCTGCATCAGGGCCGCGGCTCCGGCCCCGATGCGCGGGCGATGTGTGTGTGCACCGTACCATGAAGTCGGGCCTGACCTTCTACAGGAGGAATATTCAAAGATAGTCCAAAAAGAGTCTGGAGACTTGTCAGAGCCCCGAATCATCAGGGGTAGCTCGGGTCAGGGCTAACTCGGGTTCGTTTTTGCGGGGATCCAAACCCGAGTTACCCCGGACCCGAGTTACCCCGGATAACTCGGGCGCCCAAGCTTGGGCATTTTCGAACATCTGTTGATTTTTGTTCCGCCCAATCCCCTTGTAGGGGACCCGCCCGACCTAAAACCGTACCGCGTTCGCGCTTCTCGTGGCGTCGTCGATTCTCGACCCAGGAGTGGTACGGTGCACGGAGTTTTCGACCCCCAGGGGCGGGCAGCACCTCGCCGGAGCAGGGCCTGACCAGAGTCCAGACATGGTACGGTGCATGGACTCCCTTCTCGTAAAGAGTTCGCAGTCGCATTTCCAGTCCGCCCGAATTGGGTCGAAGTGCATCGGGTCGGAAGATTGGGCCACATCGCCGACTCATTGGCGATGCGGCTCGATGTGGAGGCCGATCTTCTCCACGCCGACGTCGCTGACGCATCGCCGACGTCGCCGATACATAGCCGATGCAAAGCCGATGCATCGGCAATGCATCGGCGATGCATCGGCGATGCGGCGCGATCCTCCGACCCCATCTACTCGGACCCTTCATGGAAAGCCTCCAGGAGTGCACTGACCCCCTCGTCACCTTCGCTCAGGGACTTTTGGAGGGACGGGCTTAGGGGGGATGTATCGAGAGATGCAGTGAGGGACAGGCCAGACGTATCCCTCGGTTCAGGGAGGTTTGACGTTCGAAGTTTTTGGACATGTTCGTCGGTCCCTGGTGTTTTTTCTCCCTCCGGGATGCGCTTGAGCAGCTGCGCCTTGCCCAGGAGCCTCCGTGGCTGCCCGGCTCGCCCTGAACGGCAGCCGGGTAGCCGAGGCATGACCCGAAAGCCAGGAGGCAGCTGCCGGGGGAGGACGGGTTCAGGGGAGGCTGCATCGACCCACAACCGCCCATTGATCGCCGACGGGGGCCAGACGATAGCCCTCCGCGCCCAAGGCTGTGCGGATCCGCTATCGGGGACCTACCGCCGATCCAGCGGCGAGGTATCGCCGATTCCATGTCGGTGTTCCCCCCCTGAGTCGGTCCCTCCCTGAGGTTCCCCCTCGGGTTCGCTGGGCGAGGGGCGGGGTGACGACGACAAGATGCCCACGACAGGGCCCAGGCAGAGCACGAGCACGAGCCCTGACTTCTGGAGCGCATTTCGGTCACTCACCCAGGGGTGGCACTGCGAGGCCGCTCGAGTCGCCCACTTTGGTCATTGAAAGAACTCTTGCGGAGGAGTTTCGGCAAGATGGCTGATGATGCGGCCCATGACGGCACAGTTGCAGGAACTGCAATCCAATCCACGAAGCCCCGGCTAGTCGGCTAGTCTGACTCGCCCCGTTCCGAGGCAGCCCCCCGGTATCTCGAAGTCGTGTCCAGCGCAGCACCGCCGCCCCCATGCCATGTGGAAGCGCTTGCGCGGTGAAGCGTCGAGCGCAGGTGCGGCCATGACCAGATGTATGGGTGTATGGGTATCGCCCCTGCGCTTTGGGGGCGTCATTGGGGGGACTTGGGAGGAGCTTCATGGGGTCGTCTTATGGCAATCTCTCAGCCCTTTTCGGGCCTCTTTCACGTTCGGTGACTCCCAGGAGAATATGGGATATGCGAAGTGGGGGGGAAGACGAAACTTACGAAAATATGGGAAACTATGGGGAATCCTCGGTTTTTGGGTGTTTTTGATTGTTTGTCCCTGGGCTCCTTCAATCTTTGGGCTCTCTTGGGCCACCCTGAGGCTCTCTTGGGCTGTCTTGGGGTGATCCCGGGTCGTCTGGCGCCCTCGGCGACCGTTTTGGGGGTTCCTCTGGACCACCTCTCGGGATCTCTTGGGGCTACTCGGGGCCGTCTTGGGACTACAGAAGGAATATTCAAACATACTAAAATAAATCGTCAGGGGATTCATTTTTTACCGAGATTCAGGATGTGTGAACATGTGTTGGCTATTTGTGTATCCTTCCAAAATCCGCCTGCAGGAGGACATGCCCGACCCAAGGCTACTCGGGGCCGCCTCGGGACTGTCTTGGGCCGTCTTGGGGCCTCTCTTGGAGGCTCTTGTGGGCATCCTGGTGTCTCTCTGAGCCTCGTTCGAAGAAGAAAACGGCATAAACATAAATTGTCGACGCTCCGCGCGAATTTCTTGCATCTGCGTTGGGCCCCCAGGGCGGCGCCTCCAGCGCCGTCCATGGCGCGCGGAGCGCGCCAGGAAGAGGGGTCCAGCGCAGATCCCAGAAATCCGCGCGGAGAGCCAAAAGTCGATGTTGATGTAGTTGTTTGTAGTCTACTCTTGGAACCTCCCGAGAGCACCTCGTGTTTTTTTAGAGCGCGTCTTACAGGGCATCTGGTGGCACCTTAGGGTCGTTCTGTGGGGGGCTCAGCGTCCAGAATCCTCACGCTAGGAGGGCATGGGAAATCCTGCGAAAATCCCAGGACGCCGAAGAGTCCTGGGAAAGTGGGTTGGGGCCCCTGAGAATAATGCATCCCCTGGAACGCTCATTGCATGCATCAAGAACCGCACAATCCCCTGAACATTCGCATTGCATGGTCCGTTGAGCATTGCACTACGTGCTCTGTAGACCCGACATGGGCCTGCGAATTTCATGCAGTTATTGTTTGGTTGCCAAGGGTCTTGGTCGAACTTCTAGTCGTTCCTTCCATTTTGTTGAGTGCACCAGTCATGACACTGCTGTTCTTTGATTCAGTTTCGCACGTACCTGCTGTCACCCTGCCTGTGTCGCTAATCTCTCTCCTCATCGCCGTGGCTAATCGCCTTGCCAGGCCCCGCCAGCAAGCGTGGCGAACAGGGAGGCGCTCTGCGAGGAGGAGCCACCACCGAAGGCCATGCCTGACGCCGTCGCGTCCTCGATTATGCGACCTTGCCCCTGCGAGGATGAAGCTTCTGGTGACTTGCCCACTTGTTGGTCGTGCACCCCGCGCGCAGAGCCAGTGAGCAGGATGGCGCGCGGCCATTTCTTATCAAGCACCTGGGCGTACGTGGGCACTGGACACGTTCAGAAGTCCGGCCATCCTCCATCTGCCCCCGTTGTCTTTGTTCGTTTCCTCTTCCTCCTCCTTCCTCCTCCCCCTCCTCCTCCTCCTCTTCCTCCTCCGCCTCCTCCTCCTCCTCCTCCTCCTCCTCCTCCTCCTCCTCCCCCTTCCTCCTCCTCCTGCTCCTCCCCCTTCCCCCTCCTCCTCCCCCTTCCTCATGCTCCTCCCCTTCCTCCTCCTCCTCCTCCTCCTCCTCCTCCTCCTCCGTAGCCATTTTGGCTCAAGCCAGCTCCCGCGCGGATGGTTCAAGGGCCCGCTTCTGGCGAAAGCGTATCGGCGGCCCTTCGCTCCAGCGCGCGGCGGATGGCGCGGGATGCTGCCCTCGATGGCGGCAAGGCTTCCTCCTCAGCTGCTCGCCGGTCTGCCCGGAAGGCCGCCGCTGCTTCTGCTGAGCGTGCGGTCCATCACTTCCGCGCTGAAGCTGAGGGCTGGAAAAAGAAGTACTACGACCTGGCCTACTCCCTGGGTTCGGACAGGTGCCCTCAGCTGGGTCTTCGGCTGGCGGCCGCGGCGCCTGCGCTGGAGGCACTGCTCTTGGACGAGCCCGTGGAGCACACTGATGTCCTTCGTCGGAACGTTGCTCTGCATTCGGTTGCCGAGGGGATCGACATCGTCTCCGCCTCGCCTGCCGAGCTCAACTCTGCGCAACGTGGGCCTCGCTTGGGAGCCAGGCCCCCATGTGTTGTGGCGGCTTCCTTTTCTGCACTTCGGGTATGCGCGGCGCCCTTTGTGCCTGGAGCTGCCGCTCATCATGGGTTACTTGACGGAGTCAGTTTGTGTCGTGGTGATTTCAAAGATGTAGTCGTTCCTGTTCCTTGTGGTGAAGATGGCCTTGGTGACAACGCCACCGCGGTGGAGGTCTCAATGGACTTGGATGTTGAGCACATCTCCGTGGTCGAGGAGCAGCTGCGCTCTTGGGAGGCTTTGGGTGCCGCGTCCCGCTCCTTTGTGCGCAGGCGTCGGCGCCTTGACGGCGGCATGCGGTTGTCATCAACTCCGATTTCGGAATCTCCCAACACCGCCAGGGGAGGGTACGACTATTCAGGTGACGAGGTCATCGTCGGAGGCCCCGTTCCTGTGCAGTGGGTTCCGCGAGACCTGCCGCCCGACCCTGGAGAAGGCCGCCTCTTCTCCTGAGATGGCTATGGGTACCCTCATTGTCGTGTTCGTCATTGTCGGCATTTGCTGGTTCTGGGTATTGGCACTTTGCGTCGTATGGCATTGTTGTTTTCTCGTGCGGGGTTCATTTTCCTGGTTCGGCCTCATCAGGTGCGGGCTGCATGGCGTGCAGCTGTCCGGCGAGATCTACGGCGTTATTGTGCTGCTCCTCATTTCTGGTTTTTTTCTGTCAGTGTTTCGGCATGGAGGTGTACTTCATCAGATGCTGGGAGTTGCCGTTTTCTCTGGGTTGTTCCGTCTTCTTCGATTTCGGCTACTCCTTCATCACTTTCCTCATTGACTTGGGGTCCTTGAGCGTGGATGTCAAAAAAATCCTCCTCCTCCTCCTCCTCTTCCTCCTCCTCCTCCTCCTCCTTCTCGTCCTCCTCCTCCTCCTCTTCCTCCACCTCCTCCTCCTGAGGCGTGTGCATGGGTCTGGTGTGGTGTTGCCTTACTGGGCGGGCTGGGTCAGCCTGCAGAGGGCAGGGTCCTCTTGCATCCATGTTCCCACTGTAACTCCTACGTTTGCTGCCCTCACTTCCTGCGCTGTTTCCCTCCATCTATCTACCTCCCTCCCTCAGCTCCCTCACTCCACTGCCTCCCACTTCTCCCCTCCCTCCTCCCCTTGCCCCCTCACTCTTCGCCTCCCTTCCCGCCTTCCCTCTCCAACCTCCAACATCCCTCCCACGTGGCGCAAAGTCCTCACCCCCAAGGCATAGTCCGAGTCGTGCTGGTATGCTCGATGTCGCCGTGGTGCTGCTGCCCCCGTCACGATGGTAACACCCGTGCTGCTGCGCGCACTCGTACTGCACATCGCCGCGCTGCTGGCCCCATTCGGGCTGGTAACAGTGGGAGGCAATCGGTGGTATTGGTTCCAGCTCGTGGTGCTTCTCGCATCCGCGCTGCTCAGCAACGCAATGCCGGCCCGAGCCGTGCTGATCTTATGGTCACGGTTCTCCTGGTCACCGTGGTGTTGTCGATTCCCTCTGACACAATGAGGTACATGAGTCCCCTCTGCCAGAATGAGGTACATGAGTCCCCTCCCGTCCGCACCCTCTCTACATGAACGCCAGTGGAAGCCCAGTAGTGGCCTCCGGTGCGGTCCGGTGACATCGCCCCGCTGTCGCTGATGCTCCCTGCCCGCTGCCGAGCCCTGTGCTGGCTCTGGCCCCGAGTCCTCCCACGCCTCCCAAGGGGGGCCCGCGCAGAAGGAGCGGTGGGGTCCACGGCCAGGGAGGCACACCGCGGCTGCCGCCCCTTACGGCGTCACGCCCCCGTCGAACTCCTCGCTCCTACTCCCCCAGGGGGGGCACTTCAAAGGGCATCACAAACCCTCGGAAGCACCGCTCCCCCCGTGGCTCAAAGCCCCCACCCCCAAGTGGCACATAGCCCCCCACACACGCAACTGTCGCATTGCATCCCAAGCGTTCGCACTGGCACTGCTCACCGACACGCTGCTAGTTTCAGTCGAGCTGCTGCTGCTGCTGCTGCTGCTGCTGCTGCTGCTGCACAAAAGTCACGCTGGTAGCCCACGTGCTGCTGGTCGGGCTCGTACTGCTGTCCGAGGTGTGGCTGCAACCCTCCCGCCCCCCCTCCTCCAAGTTCATTGAGTTTCTTGCAGTGTATCCACCTTGCCTGCGGCAAGCCCCGCCACCGTGCCTGTGCGACAGCGCTGCAGGAAGGAGACTGAGCATAGGAACGTTGCAATTCCGAAGAACAGTGGTCACACGCGGAAGCCGTCACATGTGACATGTCGAAGGTTGGACACGCGGTGAAGCCGTCACATGTAACATGCCGTGCGTGGGTCGTATGCGGAAGCCGTCACATGTGACATGTCGGACGTTGGGCACACGCGGAAGCCGTCACATGTGACATGTCGGACGTGGGTAACGAACACACGGAAGCGGTGACATGTGATGGGCCAAACGTGAGAGCCGACACATGTGGCATGCCGTGCGTGGGTCGCATGCGGAAGCCGTCACATGCGACATGTCGGACGTTGGTCACACGCGGAAGTCGTGATTTGGACGGGTCGTGATCCCGATTTTGGCTTCGTCCGCGCGGTAGGGTGGAGGAGGAGGACGAGGACGAGGACGAGGACGAGGAAGGGGAGGAGGAGGAGGAGGAGGAGGAGGAGGCGGAGGAGGAGGAGGAGAAAGAGGAGAAAGAGGAGAAAGAGGAGAAAGAGGAGAAAGAGGAGGAGGAGGAGGAAGAGGAGGAGGAGGAGGATAATGAGAAGGAGGCCATGAGGATGAGGAGGGGAAGGCTTCGTGGGGCTTTATTTGGTCCTCCTGGGGGTCTACAGGGAGCTTTCCGGAAGCTTTCGGGGAGCCGCTTGGGGATCTTATGGGGCCTCTTGGGGGCCTCTTTGAGTCCTTGGGCCGTCATAGGGGAGCTACAGCTCGTGGAAGGAGCCCGAAGAGTTCGAAAAAGAAGAAAAAGCACGGGTTTCTTGGATCTCAGAGGAGGACGAGGTACCCATACCGCTAATTACCTTTCCCTCTTGGCCCGTCTGGGGGCCGCCTTGGGGGCCTATCTGGGCCGTGGTGTTGCCCTCTTTGGGCGGTTCACGGCCGAGGCCCTCTTAGGAGGTCTTTTGGGTTGTCTTGGAGCTACCTTGGAGGCCCTTCGGAGGCTTCTTGGGCCGTCTTGGGAGGTCGGAAACCCGAACGGGCGGGAACCTTGAAACCATTCAAACACCGAAGGGGAATCAATGGTGTTGGCATCCTCGGGCTCTCCAGGAAGGAAGGCCTCTTGGAGCTCCTTCGGTCGTCCTGGAGGCCTCTTGGACCGTCTTGAGGCCGTCTCGACAGGCTCTTCAGCTATCTTTGGCCATCTTGAGCCGTTTTGTTGTCGTCTTGGCTGCCTTTGAAGCAGTCTTGGAGGCCATCTTGGCCGACTGGCCGAAAATTCCGCCAGAGCAATTTTAGATGGTGGTGTTCGAACCACGCGCGCCGTGCAGGGGTTGGGGCGGCGGCCCCAGAACAGAAAAGCTTCGCCGGTAACAGACGAGCATTCCAACACGCCCACTCCGTGCATGCACGGTGGCGCATACGGGGGCGCTGGAGACCCGAGGGCAGCCTCACGAAGTGTAAAAAGAACGCCGTGCGAGAGCATGCCGAGAACGTTCAGTGCGATCCATCGGCCCCCACCTGCTGTGGGAGGCCTCCACCCCCGCCCCCCGGCCGCCAGGCGGCGCCGAAGCTCCCTCCGGCCAAGGCTCCCCCTGCGCAAGCCAGCCCGGGAGCGGCAGTCGCCATGAACGGGGAGGGGGCCGGGGCGCCAGTGCGGGGGCCAGTCCGATTCTGCCGATTCGAAGCGATTCGGTTTCGAGGGCTCCGATTCCGATTCGATCGGCCCTCGTTTGTGACTGCTGGATTCCGTTTCGGTTTGGCTTTCTGCGATGCGATTGGCTTTCGTTCGATTCTGGTTCTGGCTCTGGATTCCGTCGTCGTTTCGGCTTTTTGTCGTGAATGCTTCGGCTTGTGCCCGCGAACGTCGATTCCGATACCTTCCGAGGTGTTTGCCGATGATTACTGAGTCGATGCATGTCGATAGCCGATTCGATCTGGTTTTCTATCTTGTCAACGACGCGCCGCCGTTGGCAGCCCGTCAGGTTGGTACTGCTTTCGTTGTTGCCCGGGGGCGTGGTGCCCTCTGCAGCCTTAAGTCGGGCCTGTCCTTCTACAAGAGGAATATTCCAATGTAGTTAGAAAAATAGTCTGGGGACGATTTGTTTTATTATTGCTTGGCCATTTTGGTGTATTTTGTTGACTATTCGTTCTTTTCGTCAAAAATCCCCCTGTGGGAGGACAGGCCCGACTTCATCTCAGCAGGAACACGCTCATTGGTTCCCCATGGCGGCGTGTCATTGGCATTGTTTTTGCTCCCCTACTGGAGGAATCGAGGATGCAGGTTTTGGGGGCTGTTCTTGTGCTCCTGGTGGTGCTCCTGGAGGCTTGTGGTCCACGTGGTTGGGTTCGCTTCGCAATCTTGGTCAGAGCGATTTCGAGGACGTGGTCCAGGGGCTGTAGGCGATCGTTTTCTACCCGCAGGCCCACATCGCCATGACGTACACGCTGGTCGTTGAAAGCGGGCGTTTTTGAACCCCCAGGTCCCAAACTATTTCAAGCGCCTTCCTGCTTCAAGGATCGATATGATATGGATGTGTTTGGTCACTCGCTGTGAGGGCCTGGACCCAGTCTACTGTACACGCCTTCCTACTCTGTGGCTTTGCCCTCTCCTTCCGACCGGGGAGTTCAAGGCTTCCTGGGGGAGAAGGGCCCCCCCCCCCTACCAGGGGCTCGGGGTGCTGGGGCCCATTCCTGGGCTCCCTGGGGCCGCCGACGAGTCAGGAGCGAGAGGAGGACCTGCACGTGCACGTGAAATCCACGTTGGTGTCGAGGGTACACCCCAGGGAAGGTTTGTCCTCAGGCTTCGGGGTGCTGGGGCCTATCCCTGGGCTCTCTGGGGCCGCCCGCCAGCAAGAGGGCTCGGGCCGAGAAGCCGCTCCTCGCAGGCGGGCCTCTTGGCCTTACTCGGACGTGTGCGCTCTTTCTCGGCGGGGACCATCGGGGAGCATCCTAGAGATCATCTTGCGAACAAAAAGGACCGTCAGAAGGACAAGCACCCTGAGGGACGCGTGGGCTGGTAGGCGAGGACACTCGTGGTGTCTGCTTGCATTCGCATCGGAAAACTCACCGCCGGCAGCCGCAGTGTCGGCACCGCCGCGGGCTGGACAAAACAGCCGGACAGGAGGAGGAGCAGAAGCAGGAGGAGGAAGAGAGGACGACGTGAAATCAGCAGCAGCATGTGACTGCAGTCGAACCGTTCATACACGTCCGTTGCCCACTGCTGTCTGGGGCGGCCTCGTCGCCTCTTAGTTGCCCAGTTTCGCGGGGTGCCGTCGGGGTTGCATAGAACCTCCCTGACTAAAGAAGCGTCGCTACTGTTCGCAAGTTTACCGTACTTGGCGACATGCCTAGAAGCCAGAACATTCGAAAGTGGTTGAGACGGCGCTCTTCTCATGACCTCCTCGTTGCTGATTCTTGACACGTACGAGCACGGGATGCTTCAGATGCGCCTCAGGTTTCTGCAATGGAAAGCGTCCAGCCGAGCCTTTTCAGCACGGAGGAGCCACACGGAGTCGAGGGAGTATACCAGTTTGCTCAGGACGCACGCCTCGTAAATCTTCAGCTTGCGCGCCAAGCCGATGGACAAATAAAACCACATCTTCCGTAGTTTGTTGAAGACTCCAGTCGTTTCTCGAATGCGCCGGGATAGCTCCGACGACGCCTTCCCGTCGCAGGTGATCAGCCCACCGAGGTACACCTCTTCCCGTACCGTGCCAATGCGTCCACCATTCGGTCTCGTGATGATCATCCATACCGAGGTTTGCAGTTGTATCGTTTTACCTCAAGTTAGCTCCAATCCGTATTTCTCGCCCTCCTCGACGATGGCGTTCAGCATAAGCTGGATGTTCTCTTGGTGCTGTGAGGCCAACAGAGTATCGTCGGCATGTTGCACGTCTCCGGTAACCACGAAATCCGGCTCATCGCGAAGATCGGCTCGATCGAGCACGTCGTGCAGGAGGACGTTTTGCACGGCGATGAAGAGGTAGGGCGATAACGGGCATTCTTGGGCAATTCCTGCACATTGACGTCTCTCTGAAAATGAGCCCGTGTGAATGGCGTACCACGAAATACCGGCTGTCGTAGATCGCCCGTATCATGTTCACCATCTCCACGGGCAGCCCAAATGTTTGCAAAGTTGCGCACGTGACGTCTGGCTCCAGTGCGTCGAATGCTTTCGCATATTCTAACATCAAGACCAACATCCCGCACGAGTTGCTTTTGTGCGCAGCGTATATCATGCACCTCGCCAGCATCAGTGCGTCTGCAGTGCCGCGGCCCCGTCGAAATCCGTTCTGCGAGTGCCGCATCCTCGCATCGGCGCTTCCTCCAATAAGCTTGTTGTGAAGCATATAGGCCAAGACTTTGTATCCGACCGGCAATAATGCGATGGGGCTGTAGTTCGCTGGGAGCGTAGCGTCGCCATTTTTGAACAAGAGCACGACTTATGCACGCCGCCACGAATCCGGAATGGTTCCCTTTTTCCCAGTATTGCTGGCAGACGGGGAGTAGAATGGCACATGCACGATCCTCTTCTGGCACTGCCTTCTAAAGTCTGGCGGGACGTCGCCGGGGCCAGCCGCCTTCCCAGCCTTCAGTTCGCAAAAGGACTCTCTGGAGTTCGGCCAGCGTGAACGACGATGCCGCGCGTCACTTGTTGGCCTCTTGCTGTCGAAGCGTCGTTGGCTTTGCACTTGGTCAAACCAGTCAGCCATCACAGTCATTCGTCCCGCCCGCCGAGTCACCCGGGCTACCGATTGGTTTTCTGATACAAGCATGCTTGACCGCCCTGGGCTTGCGGAGGCACCTGGTTCGGGACGACCGACATGGGCACGGAAAGAATGGGCACAAAGACTGACAACAGTTCTGGTTCATTTTGAACAGGATTCGCTGTCGGCGTCGCCGCGGATCGTGTCCGTTTGAGACAGAAGGCCGCCTGCCAAACAGCGGCCGCTGTTGGTTCGGGACAACATTTGCTGTTGGGTATTGTGCCCATTGCTTCCGTGCCCATTTCGGGCGTCCGAATTGGTGGCCTCCCAACCCCTTCCGCGAGTGAGTTCCTCCAGCCAGCGGTGCCGAGCTTCGTTGCCGGATCTCCTCTACGAGCCCAGTGGAGCCTGCGTTCGCCCTCGCAGCCGGCTGCCCTGCGACGGGCGTCCCGGCGCGAAGTCCATTCCAGCGTGGCTCGGCTTGTCCCCATGGCCGCCTAGCCGGGGAGCCACTGTCAGGAAGCGCGCTGGCAACGCGAGCGAAAGCGGCTCGGAGGTCCTCCGCCGATGCGTCCAAGGAGCGTGTCCGGTCAGAAGACGGTTCCGGTACACGGAACCGGCAAATCTACGGGGGATGGGCGTACGATCGATGGCGAGGTTTGGGGGTGGTCGGGGCCCAGATTAGACGCGCGGCCGTGAAGGGGCACCACGGGGCCAGGGGCCACAGGTGCAGGGGCCATAGGGCCTTCGAGGAGCAGGGGCCCGCAGCGACGGCAAACAGAAGCGAGGTCAGTGTATCACTGCGCAGCGGCCTGGACGTACACCCTGGCGTGAAGTCGATCATGTCTTTCTTCGAGAAGAGTATTCAAACATTGTCAAAAATAGTATGGGCACGATTTCTCTACTATTTCTGACAATTTGTCCTGTTGTTTGCTATTTTGGTATTTATTCTGAAATCCGCCTGTGGGGGGACATGACAGACCTAAACGCACACCATGGCGATGGTGAGCGCCCATGCATAAAAGGCAACACAAAAACGGGGCTCGGGCGCGCACGCGCAGTGCATTTGGGCGGACAGTAGTGTTACAGTCAGAGTTCATAGTGAGGGCGCACGGGTGTCCTCAGGATGCCCTTCTTGCGTCCTTGCCTCTGCGGCCCGTCCTTCGCGGCGTTCGCTGGCCAGCCCGTCAGGGCGTTGGCAGCCCGCCTTCAAAAGTGCCAACGTCGGCGTCAAAGGCCCTTGCGTCTTTACCGTCCGTCCTTACTATAGATATCAACTGTGGGATCCATCCATCTCCTCCAACTTTTCTTGTTGTCCCCACCTTGCGGGCGCACCTTCGCCTTCCAGGAGCGCAGGAGGCGGGGACAACGCCGCGTTATTGAGCGGCTGAGTTGCAGTCCCTCGCCGATGGATGGAAAATGCACCGTGCGCCAGATGCAGTTGCAGCGTCTCCCAGATGCAACCTGTGCGTCCTGATTCTGCGCGCGCTTGGGACGCTGCACGTGCAACGCAACCTCCCGCTGTTTTGACTGCAGCGGCTGAGCGCTTCGCGTGTGGTGGGTGCGCTGGGTCGGGAGCCGTGGCTCTCAAGTCCTGCGGGTGAAGGGGTGGCCTCGCCGAGGCCTCGGAGGGGAGGGTCGACGTCGCTCCCGGTGCACGCGCCAGTGGGACCGCTTCGAGCCAGGAACTTTCACGATACCGTCAAAGCCAGTTGGCGAAATCGTTGCGACAGGTGGTGGCGATTCGAACATGGTCGAGGCGAGCGTCAACAAAGCGTCCATCGGTTGGTTCGACATGTGGCGGCGCTGGGTTTCGTGGCGGCCTTGGCTTCTCGAGGCTCCGCGTCCCCTCCTCCCGACCGATCGCCTGTGCGAGAGCTCGGGCAGGCCCAGGGAGACGAGGAAGAACGCTCCCGGGCGCTCGGGGCCGCTCCCGGAGCGTCCTGGGACCCTCTGGAACGACCATGGGCGCCGGACGCATCCTGCAGACACGCCAGCGCCAGAGCTCGCGGGCCACCTCTGCCCCGCGCTGTGTTCTCCCTGCCGCTGGCTCACCAGGCTCCCTCAAGCTCCACCTCGTGGCACGAGGGGCGCGGATGCGCAGGCATCCGCCGCCGATGGGTGGTATGATGGTCTTGCTGGCCCGAGGGAGGCGGGGGTCCAAGGCGGGCCGCTGGACGGACTGCGGCGGAGAGCCTCCGCGGCCCAGGCAGGTGCCCTGCGAGCGCCGAGTCGGCCAGATGGCCCCGAGCCGCGCCCCTCGCAGCAGAGATGCTGGGGCGGGGGGGCTGCGTGGAGGGCAGCGTCGAGGGGGAGGGGCTCTCAAGGGGGGGTGGGATGCATCGACCCCCCCTCGCACAGTCAGTCATCGCCGACGGGGGCAGCCCGCCCCGCCCGCGAGCGTGCGGGTTTCGCTGTCGAGGGCCTACCGCCGATCCATCGGCGCCGTGTCGCCGATCCCAGGTCTCCTCCGCCTCCCCCAATTCCTTCTCGTCCTCCTCCTCGTCCTCGGCCTCCTCCTCCTCCTAATCCACTCCTCCTCCCTCTCTCCCTCTTTCCCTCCCGCCCATCCTGCCTCTCCCTCCGGGAGGGCCGGGCGATCGCGGGAAGTCGCGCGAAGCAGCCGGTGCCGGCGAGGCCCCAGCTCTCGTCGAGGCTCTGCAGGCCGCCAGAGGCCCAGAATGGGGTGCCCGCGCCCTCGAGAGAGGCTTCGCAATCGCTGCGCCGCGTGCAGGTGTTCCGTCCACCCCCCCGTCGTCTCGGCGGTCACGGCCGGGGTCGCCCTCCCCCCCCTTTCCCCCCCCCCCCTTCCAGAGCAAGTCGCGCAACTTCGCGTAGGTTTGCCATGATTTTCCTATGGATTCTTCGAGAATAAACTCGTGAGATTTCTGGCGCCCCCCCGCTGTGACGTGACATCGGGGGGGACGGACCCCCCCTGGCCGATCTAGGGGAACGAACAATGGCATAAACATAAAGACTCTGAGGTCCCCCGGATTTCTCGGATCCGTCGATGGGGCTCCTTGGCGCGCTCCACGAGCCAGGGAGGGGGGTCAGCGCGAGTCCGAGAAATCCGCGCGGACCTCCGAGATGTCATGTTTATGCCATTCTTCGTTCCTAGAGTTCGTCCCCCCCCCGATCATGCCCGGTATCGCGAATAGTAAAAGTAGCAGGTTCTTTCCAGCCTCTTCCCGATCCCATCCGCGCTGTGCGAGGAGCGCATTTGGGGCAGGCTCGCCTCGCTGGCCAGATGGCCCCTTCGCCCTTCTTCGGAGCTTCCCGAGGGGCCGTTGCTGTTGTGTGTGTTCTGCTTCCGGCTGTGCTATGGTCCTCGAAGGAGCAAGAACGGCATACAAATCAACGTTTGACGCTCCGCGCGGATTTCTTGGATCCGCGCTGGGGCCCCCCCGGCGGCGCCTCCGGCGGGCCAGCGCAGATCCAAGAAATCCGCTCGGAGCGCCAAAAGTTTATGTGTATGCTTTTGCTCGTTTCTAGATCACGTGGCTTCATATTTCGGCACACCGCTCGCACGCTTCGTGCAGGAGCTCCCCTCTCTTGCGTCCCACCCTCTGCGGTACCCACACCTGCTTGTGGTTGGGTCCTTCGCCAGGACTGATTTGGTATCATGTGGAGTCGTTGGACCGTGTTCTTACTATCATTAGGATTCCCCAATTAGAGCTTGCCTCTGTAGGGGTCCTAGCGGAGTCATATGGTTAGGTTAGGTGCGCCGCCGATTTCGGCGGCACGCCCGGGTGCCCAGGTGCCCGGATGAGGTGCGCCGCCGATTTCCGCTGCCGGGTGCCGTGGTGCGCAGGTGCCCGGGTGCCCTATAGCCCCATAGCCTTATAGCCATGTAGCCCTACAGCCCTACAGCCCTACAGCCCTACAGCCCTACAGCCCCATAGCCCTATAGCCCTATAGCCCTATAGTCCATAGCCCTAGAGCCCTATAGCCCCATAGCCCCATATTCCAAAACAGATTATGAGTGTGGCTTCTCTCCTGCATCATGTTTATTTCTACGATTGCTTTAATATTTCCATTTCTTCCTCATCGCCCTTGAGGGCCTCTTCTTTTTCATTTGCTCCAGACGGCCGCGCACGCATCAGGGGCAGGTGAGGGAGTTGTGGGGTGAAGCCGGAAGAGGATGCGGAAGGACTGACCCCTGTGACGAGGTGGATTGCGGAAGCACATGCGGTCGGCGGTCCACAGGTGGGTCGGCACGATTGAAAAATGAGGAGGGGAAGCATGGGGACGAAGACTTGCAGCAGTTCCTGCTAATTTTGGCAAGGGCTCGTTGTCGGTGCCGTCGCGGGCGTTGTCCAGTAAAAACAAGAAGCTACATACCAAACCACTGATGCTTCTGGGCAACATTTGCCGTTGGGCATCGTGCCCCTTGTTTCCGTACCCGCGTCGGTGTATAGAACGAGGACTTGAGGGATGGGGCCTCTGGGACGAGTGGTTTCGGACAGTGAAGGCTCAGCTGGGGATCTTCTTTGTCCAGTCCGTAGCGGCGGCGTCCCCAGGGGGGAAGTGAGAGGGGACGGGTTCTCACAGACGGCGCGGAAGTTCCCCCAGACTTCTGAAAAGTTTTCTGAGCCTTCCCCGAAGGCACAGAAGACTTTCCAGGGATTCAGAGAAGCCACGCCGCCTTTGAGAAGGCACTCTCCTTCTCACATCCCCCCTCGCTCGCCGCCGAGTACGGTAGGTTCGCGTCGTATCGATTGGCGGCGACCCCGCCGCCGACGTTCGATGGTGGATGTCGGCGGCGGCCCAGAATCGGTCGATGCTAAAAGATCTTGCGTTTCGGAAGCGGACGACCGTTCAAGGTTGGACAACCCCCGCGGTGTCAGAACCAACGCCAGGGTCGACACGACACGAACCCGCCGTGGGGCCAACCCCCTTACCCCCCCGGGCTCCATCTTTGAGCCGCTGATGCTGCCTCCGCTGCAGAGCCGTGGCGAGGGGAGGCTGGGCTGCCCGTGAAGCCCGCGCCGCCGACGGCCTCCGGCAGCGACGCCTTGCTGGCCAAGGCGCCGCCGTTGGGCTCGGGCAGCGATCCGCTGCCAGCCAAGGCGGGCTGGCAGGGCGAAGCTGGTGCCTATTGTATTGGACTGCAGTCCGCCGGCTTGAGCGAGGCCTGCAGCCAAGGCGCTGAAGTATGGACGGACCACCTTGGCCTCGGAAGCTGATCCCTGTTCCTCAGGCCCTTCCACTGTTGCTCCTCCAGCGCTCCTCGTACACCGAAACGTTTGTGTTGCCATAGAGGAGTTTCGTGTTTTACCTGCCGTTCCTTATGGTAATAGTTTCACTTTAGTTGGCTTGAAGGGTACTGTCCCTGCCCCCAGCTAGTGTATCATTGCTTTGGGGCATTTGTCATTTGATTATGAGGGTTCCCGGTTGCGGCCCAGTGTTTGAGGCCTCTGGAAAACATACAATACTTCAATACACAGTACCGCGTTGTGGAAGTAGAGAGTGCTGAGCAGAGGGAATGATTAGTTTCATTATCCGTAAGGGCTTCGCCCCCTGCCGCCAGCCCCCTCTCGATCAGAATGGGATATATCAAAGTCGCGTCGGTGCGTCTTGGCGCTGCCTTGGCGCATCTGGGAACATCATGCGGGCGCGTATAGGAATCATCAGCGCATATTGAGACGTTGGCTGTATCAAAGACTCATACAGCGAATCACCGCCGCCCCCTGCCTTCTAGAATCGCCCATGTGGCAGAGCGTTGTGGCAAGAGCTCTGCAAAGCTATCGGACCATGTGTTCCCCCGACCGTTGTAGAAACCCTTCGGGGAACACTTGGGGGAGGATGGCGGGGAAGATCAGGAGGAGGCGGAGGAGGAGGTGAATGAGGAGGAGGAGGAGGAGGAGGACGGGGCATCTTGGGAGCCTCTGGGGACACTCTTGGGGCCTCCTGGGAGCTTTCGGGGAGCCTCTTGGGGACATATTGGGGGCCTCCTTGGGCTTCTTGGGGGCCTTTGGTGGCTTCGCGGGGGCCTCTTTGGCCGTCTTGGTGGGCTCCTGACCCGTCTGACGCCGTCGGAAGCTGTCTTGGGGGGCCTTTCTGGGCCGACTTGGGGCCCTCTTGGGGTGCTCCAGGGCCGTCTTGGAGGCCATCTTGGCGTCTTGGAGGCCTCTTGGGCCGCCTTGGGGCGCCCTCTTGGGCCCGTCTTGGGGCCCTCTTGGGCCGTTCTGTGGCCATCTTGGAGGCCTCTTGGGCGATCTTCGGGGGCTCTTGGGCCATCTTGGGCCTTCGGGAGGCCGAAAAGAAGCACATGCCAAAATCTTCTTAAACAACTGAGGATAATTAATGAATTGGGCCTTTCGGGCCTTCTGGAGGCCCTCTTGGTGGCCTCTTGGGCCGTCTTGGGCCATAGAGCCATCCTCGGCCGCCTTGGTGGGCTCCCTGACCGTCTGACGCCGTCGGACGCCGTCTTGGGGGGGCCCTCTTGGAGTGCTGCAGGGCCGTCTTGAAGGCCATCTTGAACATCTTAGAGGCAGCCTCGGGCCGTCTTTGGGCCCTCTTGGGGCCGTCTTCGGGGCCCCCTGTTCTGGGGCCATCTTGGAGGCTTCTCGGGCGATCTTTGGGCGATTTGTGGGGGCTCTCGGGCCGTCGGGAGGCCGAAAAGGAGCAAATGCCAAAATCCTTCAACAACCAAAGGACAATCACTAACTTGGGCCTCTTCGGGCCTTCCTGGAGGCCCTCTTGGGGGCCGTCTTGGGCAATCTTAGAGCCATCTTCGGCCGTCTTGGTCGGCTCCTGGCCCGTCTGACGCCGTCGGACGCCGTCTTGGGGGCCTCTGGGCCGACTTGGGGCCCTCTTCGAATGCTGCAGGGCCGTCTTGGAGGTCATCTTAGGCGTCTTGGAGGCCTCCTGGGCCGTCTGTGGGCCGTCTTGGGCCCGTCTTGTGGGCCTCTTGGGCCGTTTTTGGGCCATCCTGGAGGCCTCTTGGGCGATCGTTGGGCGATTTTGTGGGGGCCATCTTGGGCCGTCTTGGGCCGTCGAAGGCCGAAAAGCAGTAAACACGAACATTTGTCAAAAACCTAGGGCAGATCAATGATTTTAGCATCTTCGGGCTTTCCTGGAGGACCTCTCGGAGGCTTCTTGGGCCGTCTCGAAGGCCTCTGGGGCCGTCTTGTAGGCTTCTTGGGCGCACTTGGAAGTATCTTGGACCCTCTTGGGCCTTTGGGAGGACATCTTGGCCGTCTTAGAGGCATCTTGGAGGCCATCTTGGCCGTCTTGAAGGCGACTGGGGCAACCACCCGTGCATTTTGAGTACCTTTCCGGGTCCTTCTGAGTGGCCGGCGGGACGGGCCGAAGCCCCAGGGAAGAGTTGTTTCCGAAAAAGAACCAGAACCAAAAACGGTAGCGTCTAGCACGCCGGGCACCTTTGTGACAAGCGCAGGGGGCGGCGGATCGAAGGCGCCTGCGGCGAATCACCGCCGCCCCCTGCCTTGTAAAATCGCCCAAGTGACAGAGCGTTGTGGCAAGAGCTCTGCAAAGCTATCGGACCATGTGTCCACAGCCGCTGTAGAAACCCTTCGGGGAACACTTGGGGGAGGATGGCGGTGAAGATCAGGAGGAGGCGGAGGAGGAGGTGAATGAGGAGGAGGAGGAGGAGGAGGAGGAGGAGGAGGAGGAGGAGGAGGAGGAGGTGGAGGAGCAGGAGGAGAGGGCATATTGGGAGCCTCTGGGGAGACTCTTGGGGCCTCCTGGGAGCTTCCTGGGAGCCTCTTGGAGGCATCTTGGGGGGCCCTCTTGGAGGTCTCTTAGGGGCCTTCGGGGGCTTCTCGGTGGCCTCTTCGGCTGTCCTGGTGGGCTCCTGACCCTTCTGACGCCGTCGGAAGCTGTCTTGGGGGCCTTTCTGGGCCGACTTGGGGCCCTCTTGGGGTGCTCCAGGGCCGTCTTGGATGCCATCTTGGGCGTCTTGGAGGCCTCTTGGGCCGCCTTGGGGCGCCCTCTTGGGCCCGTCTTGGGGCCCTCTTGGGCCGTTCTGTGGCCATCCTGGAGGCCTCTTGGGTGATCGTTGGGCGATCTTCGGGGGCTCTTGGGCCGTCTCGGGCCGTCGGTAGGCCGAAAAGAAGTAAATGCCAAAATCTTTCAAAACCAAAGGGAAATGAATGGATTGGGCCTCTTGGGGCCGTCCTGAAGGCCCTCTTGGAGGCCTCTTGGGCTATCTTAGAGCCATCTTCGGCCGTCTTGGTGGGCGACATCTGAGAAATTCGAGGCTCAAAGGTGGCCGTGACCTCCTGGGAGCCTGGGGGCCTCCCAGGAGGCCTGGGCTGAAGGGCCCAAGAAAATCGAAAGGTTGCATCGAGAAACTCTCAGTATGTATTCGGCGCGCGCAGACAATATCCCCCCCGTCGATCTGTGGATTCTGCGCGCGTGCACCCGACGACCCCAGGACCATCTGCGGACAACATGCGTGTCCGCAGATCGTTCTGTGGGCGCACCCCTTGTCCGCAGATGGTGTGCGCATTGGCCCAGGCAGTCTGTCCACACTTGACAGTACTTTATGTGGACCAGGGACACGTGTACACACTTGACAGTACAGTCTGCGGACGGCCTTCTAAATCCACACCTGACAGTCCAATCTGTGGATTCGGGTACTAGATATGACCGCTGCTCGACAACCCGATGGTGCCGCGACCTCGGTGCCCAGTCCGGGGGCTGGGGCCGGGGTGGGGGCCCTGCGTCCGCACACGAGAGTATAGTCTGTGGACTGGCGGGCTCACGGACGGCAGAGCACAGCTCCGCGCGGCACTCGGAACTCGAGGGGAGATGGGGGGGGAGGGCGAGCGCACGAGAGGCGAGGGATTTCAGAGGGCCCCAAGATGGCTCCAAGAAGGCTCCAAGAACCCCTCAGGAGCCTCGAATCGGTGTGGGGAAGCGCGGCCGCATTTCCCCACCTGTTTGGGGCTCTCCTGGGACTCTCGGGACCTCTTGGGTCTCTCCTGGGGTCCTTCTTGGAGCCCAGCCGACAGCCGACGAGCGCGAGAGCGCGGATGAGCAGCACGTCGTGCATGCCGAAACCGGCGCGACGTCGGACTGGCGTCCACATCCTTTTGATCGCCATTCTCCTCATTCTAACCTCCACCTCATTCCTCGTGTTTGTCCTCCTCGTCCCGCCGGAGGGTCCAATGAAGCCCAAGAGGGCCTCAAGACGGCCCGAGACGTTTTTTTCAGACGCTCTTTTCCCTCCTTCACCCATCACTCTTCATTGTTGCCCCTCCCCGGGGTCCTTTGAACTGAGGGATGCGTCCCGCAATCAAAGGAACCATGATGCCATTCAGGGCGTCGATTGTATTTTCTATTACGGGCGATGCTGGTGTCCTCATGTTTGGCAATGTTTGAGTGCACGCACCATGGCAATGACACTGAGATTGTGCCGATGCTATGACATCCAATGTCATGCAGTACCTATGCCACCTATGCGATGCTATGCCCGATTGCCCCATCAGTGCCCAGAAAGCTACGTTCTTGACAACTCAATCGGAGCATGTATAGGTGTTGTGGTTTCTGTAGCCGCAGGCTACATGCTCAGGGCTGCAACCCGCAGATTGGCAGAATCTGCGGACAGTGGTGTGCGCCGCCACGTAATGGCACTAGGTACAGGCCCCAAGAACAACCCAAAGCAGGGGGCATTGGTGTGAGTTTCTCTTCTCATTGCTGTTCGTTCGACTCTGCCCCTACCTTCGAACTTGGGAGTACTTTGCTATTCGCACTGCAGCTTTCAGACCACAACTGGAGTTCAAGTGAAAACTGCGTGGCAATCCACCATTCGACGATTCCGAGAGCACTGGGATGGTGCGAGTTTTGGTGTGTGTGCCTGTGTGTGAACGTGCGTGTGGATGTGTCGTGTGTATGTGCGTGTGTGTGTGTCTGTTGTGTTGTGTTGTGTTGTGCTGATTTGTTGAGTTGTGTCTTGTTTTATGGCGTGCGCTTAGCCAGTGGATGACCACGGCTTTCGCACGCGTCCACAAAACCACTGGCCGTGTTCGATGCCGTCGCTGGCTGGGCCTCACTAGCGCGTCGGAGGACATCATCTGTGTGTGCGTGTGTGGTTTCAGCCCGCCTCTCGCCCAATTTGACACCACTGCCTTGGCCGCTGTGGCGAATGCGTCACGACAGGCGGTTGCTGCCGCAGCCCACCAGCACTTAGGACGTGAGTGCACCCCACCACGTTGGGAAAGAAGTTTGTGTGTTCGCCTCCGCGGGTGGTCGTGCCATCCTGGCCACACGTGGAGACAGTCTTCTGATCAGGGGTGCACTGAACAATTCCATGCAGGCGCTGATCTTGCACGGAGCGCAATCATATTGAGCAAAGGGAAGCTCAGAAGGAGACGAAGAAGGGGAGCCGCAGATTCGGTAAAGAGCCCACGCCAGATGGTTGAGGGGGTACTGTCTGAGTCCTTAGCTGCTTGGCGAGGCTGCGCCGCTTCAGGTCAAGCCGCCGCCGCCGCTCGGCGCCAGGCAGGAGGCCGCCTCGGGGTGGAGGGCTGTGGGGCATCGGACTTTGCGAGCGCAGCGATGCACCACTGGAGGAAAGTCGGGCCTGCCCCTCTACAGGAGGAATACTCAAAAATAGTCAAGAATAGCCTGGGGACGATTTGTTGATCATGGTTTGACTAATTCCTAATCCACTGTCTCTTCTATGTTTCTTTGAAAATCCGCCTGTTATGAGGACATGCCCGACCTACCACTGGAAGCTAGCTCTGCTCCCACTGTGCTCACCTCTCTATTCACAAGGCTTACGCAAGCCCGCCGACCCCCTGGAACAGTGAATTCGTCAAGAGCCGTGCCACCGTGCCTGGCCTGTGGGTCAAGAGCCTCGGGGATGCATACGAGAGTCTCCTGGAATGTCTCTCAGGGGCCCCTCGCAGGGCGCCTTGGGGCATCCGATTTCCCTTGGGGAGGTATCCTGGAGGCCTCCTGGGGAACTCTTGGGTGCCTCTTGGAAGCCATCCGCTTGCCCTTGGGGGGGCCTCCTGGAGGCCTGCTGGGGAACTCTTGGGTGCCTCGTGGAAGCCTCTTGGGGATTCCATTGTGCTCATTTCACGCGCAGTATCTTTACCTGGCCACAGATCGATGCGGCTCGAACAAAAAGGTTAGCCGACCTGCACCTCCGGGCGGCAGGGCGAGGGGCGGGCGCATCGGGCAGCGATGCCAGACTGCCCTGGGGGTTTCGGGGATTGGGCGTCGCGTCATGGGGATGCGATGCACGGGGGGGGGGTGCGATACTTGGAGGGCTGCAGGAAAGGAGCCCTGAAGGGCCCTGGAAGGGGCCCTTGCGGACCCAAGAAGTGCACCTTCCTTCCCCCCCCCTCTCCCCCCCATCAAGCGACGCCGAAGGGGAGGGGAGCGAGGGGGAGAGGAGGGGGGTAAGATCGGTTGCGGTGCCGCTCCAGGAAGAGAACGGCCCCATCTTGCCGCCCCTCCACGTCATCGTCCTTCTGCGCCTCTTGGTGTCCTTGTCTTCCTGCTGCTAAGAAGTAGCAGGAGCAGCAGGAGGATTAGGAGGAACAGTAGGAGGAGGAGAAGGATAATGCGGAGGAGAAGCAGGAGCAGCAGCAGCGCGAAGACGAGCAGGAGATGGAGCTGAAGGGGGGTCTGGAGCCAGAGCAAGAGGAGGTCCGAGCAGCAGCAAAAGGAGCAGGAGGTGCCAGGAGAGTCCAGGGGAGTAGCAGTATCGGTATCTTTTGGTTTCCTCGGTGGAGGGAGAGGGGACGAGGAGCACGAGGACAAGGAGGAGGGGTGGCGGGGAATTGGGACGAGGACGAGGTGGAGGACGAGGACGAGGACAAGGACAAGGAGGAGGGGGACGAGGAAGAGGAGGAGGTGGAGGAGGAGGAGGAGGAGGAACAGCAGCAGCAGCAGCAGCAGGAAGAGCAACCGGGGCAGTTTGGTCTGGAGGACTGCGTTTTGGGCAGCAGGAGCTGCAGGATGAGCATCAGGAGCGGGCGAAGCAGCAGCAGCAGCAGCAGCAGCAGCAGCAGCAGCAGCAGGTGCAGGAGGAACAGGAGGCAGAAGCAGGAGGAGCAGTACGGTCGGACCGAGGTATAAGATCGAGGTCGGCTCGGAAGGTGGGTACCCTAGTATTCTTCGTGCTTATTGGATGTTCTTGTGTATCCTGGGGAAGGAGGTCCTCGAATGCTCTCCAGCTTGGCCAGCGGAGGGTCTCGTGTTCTGTGTTCTTGAGGGATGTTCTTCTGTCCCAGGTCCGATTTGCTAGGGGTAGGAGAGAGAAGCTGAGCAGGGACATGGCCAGCAGCGGGCGCAAGAGCAGCAGCAGCAGCAGCAGGAGGAGCTGGGGGCAGGGGAGGCGGAGAGGCAGGGGCGGGAGCCAGCGGAGGAGGAACGGCGGCAGCAGCAGCCAGGGTGTCAGGAGGAACCGGCCAGGGGAGGAAGGAGGAGCAGTAGGATGAGGACGGGGGCTTGGCAGAGTGGGAGGGGGAATGAGGAGGAGAAGGAGGATGAGAAGGAGGAGGAGGAGCAGTAGGTTGAGGAGGGGGATGTGGCGGAGGGGGAGGACGGGGGGGGAGAGGGGGGGCGTGGTGGTGGCCTTGAAGTGCTACGATCCAGGGTGGCCAGTCGGAGGCTGTCGATACCACTCGCCTGGCTCATTTTGTGATCCCGTCCGTGTCGCGATCGTGCCATGTTGCCGGTGTTTCTGGACGTTCCGTTCACCGCCGTGGCTCTGTTGATGATTAGTTTTGGAGTGCTCCATCGGAGGGACGCCAACAATAAACCGAAACCAGCCCTGGCCAGGCCCATCCTGGGCCCTCGACTGGTGTGTGTTTTGTTTTGCCCCCCCTTCTCACCCGGCGGTGAATAAGACTTGTCCTATACATTCTTCCTTCTCCTCCGCCTCCTCCTCTTCCCCCTCTTCCTCCTAGTAGCACCACTACTACGACTACGATCATTACAAGTACTACGAATACGACTACTACCACTACTACTTATATTACTACTACTACTACTACTACTACTACTGCTACTGCTGCTGCTGCTGCTGCTACTACTATTACGACTACTACTACTATTATTACTACTATTATTACTACTACTACTACTACTACTACTACTACTACGACTACGACTACGACTACGACTACGACTACTACGACTACTATACTACTATTACTACTACTACTACTACTACTACTACTACTACTACTACTACTACTACGACTACTACGACTAGTATTACTACTACTACGACTACTACTACTACTACTACTACTACTACTACTACTACTACTACTACTACTACTACTACTACTACTACTACTACTACTACTACTACTACTACTACTACTACTACTACTACTACTACTACTACTACTACTACTACTACTACTACTACTACTACTACTACTACTACTACTACTACTACTACTACTACTACTACTACTACTACTACTACTACTACTACTACTACTACGACTACGACTACGACTACGACTACTACTACTACTACTACTACTGCTACTACTACTGGTACTACTACGGCTACTACTACGACTACTACTACGACTACGACTACGACTACTACTACTACTACTACTACTACTCCTACTACTTACTACTACTTCTCCTACTACTACTACTACTACTACTACTACTACTACTACGACTACTACTACTACTACTACGGCTACGACTTTTACGATTACTATTACTACTGCTGCTAATACTACGACTGCTTTAATACTACTACCCCTGATTCTACGTCTACTACGACTACTACGACTGGGAATATTACGACTCCTACTACTACTACGACGGCTACTACTATTGCTACTTTTCCGACGACTAGTACAACAACAACTACTATTACGACTACGACGACGACGACGACTACGACGACGACGACTACGACGTCTCATACCACCGCTACCAATAGTACTACTACTACTACTACTACTACTACTACCACGTACTACGTACTAGTACTACTAAAACTATTACTATTGCGACTACTACTACTACTATTTCTACTACTGTGGCTACATCTGGAGCTGCTACTACTAGTACTACTAGTACTATTACGACTACTACTTCTATTACTACGATTACTACGATTGCTGCTATTACTATTACTACTACTGCTACTACGACGACTACTACTACTACTACTACTACTACTACGACTAGTGCGACTACTACTACTACTACTACTATTCCTATGACTACTACTACTACTACTACTACTACTACTACTACTACTACTACGTTTACTACTACTACGACTACTACTACTACTACTCCTACTACTATTACTGATACTACAACTACTACTACTACTACTACTACTACTACTACTACGACTACTACTACTACTACTACTACGACTACTAGGACTACGGCTACGAGTACTACAGTTACAACATCGACGGCCAGTACTTCGACGATGACTGCTACTACTAGTACTACTTCTACTACCACTACTGCTGGTACGTCTGCGACTACTACTACTACTACTAATATTTCTACTACTACTACTACTATTGCTACTACTACCACTATTACTACGACTCCTACTACTACAACTACGATTACGATTACTACTAGTACGACTACTACTACTACTACTACTACTACTACTACTACTACTACTACTTCCCCGAGCACTGCTACTACACCTGATGCTACTGCTACTGCTACTGCTGCTGCTAGTACTACCACTCCTACGGCTAGTAGTACTACTACTACTACTGCTACTACTACTACTAGTACTATTACGGCAACTACTACTACTACTACTACTACTACTACTACTACTACTACTACTACTTCTACTACTACTACTACTATGGCTACCACGACTACTACGACGATTACTACTACTACTACTACCACTAAGATATGACTACTACTACTGCTACGACCAATCTACTTAATTACTACTGCGGCGGCTACTACGACTACTACTACTATGACTACGACCACTACTACTACTACTACGGCTATTACTACTGAAACTATTACTTCTTCGACTAGTACTAGTACGACCTACTGGTACTACTACTACTACTACTACTACTACTACTACTACTACTACTACCACTACTACTACTACTACTACTACTGCTACTGCTACTAAGACTATTACTGCTGCTTCTACGACTACTATTACTACCACGAAAGAGAAAGAGGAGGGGAACCGTACTGAGATTCGGATTACTACTATCATTATCACGACGCTTGCGGATACCATAATTACTTCTACCATTACGACGACGATATCTACTATTACTACTACTAC